AGGCGGGGCTGGGGGGGACATGAGGAATGGGGCCCACAGCTTCCTCCCTGAGGGGGGAACTAAGCAACCGGCAAAGCCCACCCCCTGGGGGTGCCCCTAATTCATTCCTGTTTATTTCATAGACCAGTGTGTGCCAGCATTAACCCGTCCGAACCTGTGAGGCACGGCCCCCATGTTACTGAGGGGGAAACTGAGGTGTATGGGGGTTAAGACACTTGCCCGAGGTCCCGCAGCTAGGAAGTGGCAGAGCGAGAGCCGGAGCCCGGGTCACCTGTCCTGGGGCCCGTGCTCCTCACTGCTCACTGCGCTGTTCCCAGGGGCCTGGCTGTGCTTCCTCTGGAGGCTGTCTCCATAATCCCGGAGCTGGGACTTTTGGGGATCCTGAGCACTAGATCCCCTCCCTGCCCGGGCCCAGGCCTGACCCCTGAATTTCTCTCCGCTGCAGTCAGTCTTTGAGGCAGAGCTCTCCGAGCTCATCATGTGCCAGAATGAGGTTGACCTGGCGCTCAAGAACCTGCGCACTTGGATGAAGGATGAGCCCGTAGCCAAGAGCCTGGTGAGCGGCTGCCGGGGGTGGGGAAGCGCCCAGCGGCAGCTCCAGCCCCGGCCTCTTCACCGCCTCCGACCCACGGCGAGTCTCTGACTTCCTTGGGACCCGTTTCCTCATGAGGACTCCAGTCCACAGGCCCCTCGAGGACCCTGGGGGGCAGCTTTGGGGTGATTCCCCTGCCACGCCCTACCATGTGTCCTGCACTACAGTTCGTGCGGCCGGACTCGGCCTTCGTCTGGAAGGAGCCCTTGGGCCTGGTGCTCATCATCGCCCCCTGGAACTACCCTGTGCACTTGACCCTGGTGCCGCTAGTGGGTGCCCTCGCCGCAGGTGAGGAGAGAGTTCTGAGCCCATGCCCAATAGCCCTTCCCAAAGGGGGCCCCCAGAATTCCATTTATGTGGTACCCCCAGCCTCTGGCACGTTCCTTGCATCTCTGCCCTGGGTGTGTGTGGGGGCACTGGCATTTCCCCCATGACATCCCCATCTGTCCCTGCAGGGAACTGCATGGTGCTGAAGCCATCAGAATTAAGTAAGGGCACAGAGAAGGTCCTGGCTAAGGTCCTGCCTCAATACTTGGACCAGGTGAGGTTGGACCCGCCCCATGAGCCCCCAGGGTCCCACATCGCCCCGCCCCTGTCAGCTGGGGAGGGCCAGCTGTCCCCAGGGCCTGCAGTGTCCCTTGAACCACCTGCCCCACCTTGCAGAACTGCTTTGCCGCGGTGCTGGGAGGGCCCCAGGAAACTCGGCAGCTGCTGGAGCACAAGTTCGACTACATCTTCTTCACTGGTGAGAGTAGCTTCAAGCAGGGTGTGGGGGGGAGGGGAAGGCTGTGGAGAGAGGAGCTGGTGGCCAGCAGTGGTGAGCATCCCATATGGCAGTCAGCCCCTGGGCCTTAGAGGGTGGAATGCTGGGGCAGCAGGGCCTGGGACAGATCCCAGCAGACAAGGTACAATGGGCCAGAATAGGTGGTGCCTCGACCATCTAACCCAAGGCTGGTTGAACATGGGGGATCAACTCCCATATCCCCAGGGAACCCCCGAGTGGGCAGGATCGTCATGGCTGCCGCCGCCAAGCACCTGACACCCGTCACGCTGGAGCTGGGGGGCAAGAACCCCTGCTACGTGGACGACGACTGCGACCCCCAGACCGTGGCCAACCGCGTGGCCTGGTTCCGCTACTTCAACAGCGGCCAGACCTGCGTGGCCCCCGACTACGTCCTGTGCAGCCCGGACACGCAGGAGCGGCTGCTGCCCGCCCTGCAGAGGGCCATCACCCGCTTCTACGGCGAGGACCCCCAGAGCTCCCCGAGCCTGGGCCGCATCATCAGCGAGAAGCACTTCCGGCGGCTCCGGGGCCTGCTGGGCTGTGGCCGCGTGGTCATCGGCGGCCAGAGCGACGAGAGCGACCGCTACATCGGTGAGTCCGCCCTGCCGCCGCCGTGGCCACCCTGCCAAGGCCCTTCCAGGACGCGGGTCCCGCCTGGGCCGCGAGCCTGGG